CCTGCAAGCATAAAATAGTAAAACACACACAAACTACCATGGAATTGACTTAGATAAGCTGCAGATTTGGTACGAGAAATGGTTAATAGAATTCAACACAAACAAGTGCAAAGTATATGGGAACAGATGACAGACCAGAAGAACGATACACAATGAACCCATACCCATACAATCAGAGACTAGAAATATGGGAACGAAAAGCTGAATCTCGATCCTGCAGACAAAAATATGTAAGTACAAATAGTACACATATCTCATACATATAGAGCCATTAAGTAACTCCGTCCCTCGGCTCTGTTTCACACTGACTTGTTTACTGCCTATGTCCGGCCTTACGCAGACGAATACTCATTTGTTTCCTGCGAGGCCGGATCAACATAAAGCTTCGACAAGGGGGTAATGCCGGGGGTTTTCCACCCCCTTTAACATTGGATTTTGCAGATAAATTGCTAGGGTTTACGAGGTGCTGTGAACTCTGGCGTGGAAAACGATGAGATTCGGGACTGTACTTCACGTGTAATGCTGAAGTACGTACAGCCAGGCGGCCATTGTTATCCAGGCAATGCACACACACACACACACCCCATGATTTTCTCATATTTACGCGTTACAGAATTTTCAACTAAGACGAAATTAGAATGCACTGTGTGTGTGTGTGTGTGTGTGTGTCGTGTGTTTAGTGTGTGTGTGTTTGAGGGGCTGTAGTTTGAGTAGTGTGTTTAATGACACACATTACACACGTGTCTGCAAGATCGAACTGCTAGTTCTTCCACCCCCTCCTTCCTAACCATCGGATGTTTAATGTACTGACTCCCGACCTCATTTTCTCTATCATATCTCAACCCATCCTACCGAAATGATAGTACATGTAGTAACTATTTGGTGAAAAGTACCCATATGTAGTGACACACGCAGCTTAGGCTCTGACTAGCACCCACCTACACGCAGCCCCCACCAGCCAGGGTTCTGACTAGCACCCACCTGCACGCAGCCCCCACCAGCCAGGGTTCTGACTAGCACCCACCTGCACGCAGCCCCCACCAGCCAGGGCTCTGACTAGCACCCACCTGCACGCAGCCCCCACCAGCCAGGGTTCTGACTAGCACCCACCTACACGCAGCCCCCACCAGCCAGGGTTCTGACTAGCACCCACCTACACGCAGCCCCCACCAGCCAGGGTTCTGACTAGCACCCACCTTCACGCAGCCCCCACCAGCCAGGGCTCTGACTAGCACCCACCTGCACGCAGCCCCCACCAGCCAGGGCTCTGACTAGCACCCACCTGCCTGGGCTCTGACTAGCACCCACCTGAACGCAGCACCACCAACAACAGCTTGATTTCCAACATTGTGAAATACAAAACTTCGACTCCCTGCTGCTGGAATGCGATAATTGGAGTTTTGTGTTTTGCATTTTTCTTTTGTGTCGTTTGTGTTCCTGTTGCGTCGTCCTAATTTTTACATACTGATAAAATATTGGAGCGCTGTCGATTCTCTATTTAAAGAAATTGCGAATGGTAGAGAAGCTCTGATTAAACACTGCAAACGATGGATGCAAATTATATTGATTTTTGCTTGGTGGCGTGTGTGACCAATAGAGGATTTACTCGCCTATTTGTGCTAGCAGGGCTTACTTCCCCCTTCTCCTTTACTTTGCAGCTGCTGATCGCTTTATCTTCGTCTTCCTTGCCATAGTTTTTGTCTAAGCTGTTTATTGACTTTTTCTCTACACTCTCCTCTCATAACCTGTAATTTGTTTGCAAATATTATGTTGAGAACGTTGCTTCCGGAGCCCGTTATATCGAATGCCGCGCCGAAAAATACATGAATAGAAGTGTCAGACCCGAGGCAACTCTCCTAACCTACCGGAGCCGATCATTTTCAGGCCCATGAGGCGTCACTTTCAGGTCAATGAGGCGTCATTTTCAGGCCCATAAGGCGTCATTTTCAGGCCAATGAGACGTCATATTCAGGCCCATGAGGCGTCAGCCTTACGGTGATTGTAGTTTCCTTGCAGATTGTAGTTTCTCTCACTGTCTCTGGACTCTGTTTTCCTTTCAGCCCTACTATACCTGAGGTCCCCCTCCCCCCTCTCCCCAGAAAAACTATCCCCATTTGGTAGTTATTAGGTTAAAGATAAGCAGCCATCTATTTGAGCACCACCGTAGCTTCTCGTAGTCATTGACTTTCCCAATTCCTCACCAAGAAATTGGTCATCATCTCCAGTGTCCTCTCCAGGGGCGCAAAGCCTGGGTAGGTCCATCGAAAAATATACTGTAAATACAGTATACCACATACCGTAGCCACACTGCTCATATACTGTGAGCGCTGGAGCGACTGATGCTCGGTGTAATTATCAGTCATTATAATATTAACCCTCAGCTCATAAATATTTAACACAATACCATATCAATCAGATCATAAAATATAAAAGTTGTGCAACAGCTGTAAATAACATTGACGAGGAAAGTTTTGACTTACAGTGCAGGCGATAATCATTGATCGTAAAGTTTATTGCATTGTACAGCATGTGTGTTGTGTTGGCCACTATGACGACCTCACTGACATGATGTTGATTGACTACAATAAAAAAAAAACGAGAAATGTGGCCATATTTTCCCTTAGGCCTATTTATTATGGTTTTCAATTCGATCCTCACTGGAACTAGATGGGTCTGAAGGGCAGTTTATAACAGAGGCTTCGTGTATAATGTTATTTATGTTTTTTGGTTCAGACGCAACTATGAGCCCGATACTCTTGTAGTGGGACCTTGGGAACCCGACGCACTTGTAGTGGGACCTTGGGAACCCGACGCACTACCGTTAAACGTTTGCAAATTCTTGGGTGCATGAAGAAGATCGGGGTACATATTCAAGTACAAGGGGAAAGGGGAGGGAGAGATTTGGATGGAAAATACTCAATGAACTCGTAAGTTCGTAAGTTCGGTGATGATAGTAACGTCGTCACGTTAGTATCATCATGGCAAGTTACACTTCGTGTTCTTTACGAGCTAACGACTTATGAAGTCCGTGACTTAATAGGTATTTGAAATAGATGAAGCGTAAGCCATTATCATTCACTCTAAACGCAGTTTGAATTTAAATTTGTTTTGTCACTCAAAACTATTGTACCATACAGGGAGAGAGTGCATGGGTCTGCCGCCAGTCATAACTACGAAACTGGAAATAACTGATTACATTTTATCGAGTAGTTCTTCAGGAATTTTTGTGAGTACGTCAGTGATTTCTAAGGCGGTTCTCTATTCTCCTGTACCTCTTCCTGAAAATATCAACGTTGTATTCCGTTCTCGTTTTCCAATAATGTCGTATTGTACCCTCGAGGGACAATAACGTCTTCGTATTTGAGCTTTGTGAGACAATATTGTTGTTGAAACGAACCTCCGTGTTTATCCTGAGACTTCCAGCCCGCGGTGCTGGAACAATGACCGCTACTGAAGACGATGACTTCCAACCCCCGGTGCTGGAACAATGACCGCTACTGGTGCTGAAGACGATGACTTCCAACCCCCGGTGCTGGAACAATGACCGCTACTGGTGCTGAAGACGATGACTTCCAGCATCCGGTGCTGGAACAATGACCGCTGCTGGAGCTGAAGACGATGACTTCCAACACCCGGTGCTGGAACAATGACCGCTGCTGAAGACGATGACTTCCAGCCCCCGGTGCTGGAACAATGACCGCTGCTGGAGCTGAAGACGATGACTTCCAACCCCCGGTGCTGGAACAATGACCGCTGCTGGTGCTGAAGACGATGACTTCCAGCCCCCGGTGCTGGAACAATGACCGCTACTGGAGCTGAAGACGATGACTTCCAACCCGCGGCGCTGGAACAATGACCGCTGCTGGAGCTGAAGACGATGACTTCCAGCCCCCGGTGCTGGAACAGTGACCGCTGCTGGAGCTGAAGACGATGACTTCCAACCCGCGGCGCTGGAACAATGACCGCTGCTGGAGCTGAAGACGATGACTTCCAACCCCCGGTGCTGGAACAATGACCGCTACTGGAGCTGAAGACGATGACTTCCAACCCCCGGTGCTGGAACAATGACCGCTGATGGCGCTGAAGACACAGCAAACATAAATTGAACAAGTTGAATGTCTGAAATTTAGAAATCTGTGATACTTAGAAAAGCGCCATATTGAGCTAAAACAAAGCATATATATTATAATGCAAAAAAGTAAGGGAATTCTGTGAAACTTGAAAACGATCTATTTGCCCCTCGTCTTCTGCACAGTTACCAGCTCCTCACGGCTGGCGAGGCTGCCAAACCCATTACTGTCTGTCACAGGAGCAGCCTGAGTGTCCCTCGGTAGTCTGGCAACACCAGAGAGGACACAAGAGCCTCTGTTTCTGGCGTGTAGGTGTAAGCAGAAAATTTCAATCTCCAGAGTAAACACTGCCTGCATATATTATCAAAAAGTTCTTCCCCCTTTGGTCGAAGATTCAGGAATGAGCAGTATTTTATGATAGATAAAGACGTAAGTATTTCAAGATAATATGGTGTCGTCTGATATTTTTGTTCATATAAGCGATAACGTCTGACAAGCTGTGTATATTGATGAAGGCAGCCGGACTTCCCTCACTTTGGTAGATGGTCAGGGACATAGTCTGTAGGAGTGGGGGAAGACGAGGCAGGAGTGGGGGGAAGGATCGGGTTTCCTTCCTATTCTTAAGATGTTTCATGGGGCATGCGCACACGAGTGACGACGACGGGCTCTGGGGTAGAGGGAGGGGGGTGAGGGGAGGGACATGGTGAACTGGTAATACCGTGGTGAGAAAGAGGGGAGGGACATGCCATGGTGAGGAAGAGGGGGAGGGACATGGAACAAAGAGGGGAGAACACTGGCGACGGACACGGAAGGATCTGGCGTCATGTGTCACCCTGTGAGGGAGCTGCTCGCACCGCCTCCTGTATGGATTATAATGCTTTGGTATTCATTGTCGTCTGAAATTACTGAAGGATATATATGACACTACTGCGTCCTGGTCACGGTCACTGGGGTGTGGGGCTTCTGCGTCAAGGTCACTGGAGTGTGGGGCTACTGCGTCAAGGTCACTTTCTTTCCGCCTCTGATGACGATGAAGAGTGTTTTAGCAAAATGCGTCAGACTATATATAATTGTAAAGTTAACTTCAGAGAGTTGATTTTTTATCTTCGTTCCGAAGTGAAGAAGAATATAATATAGAGAAGATTCGCAATAGAATCTATATACAATTACACGTGTTCATAGGAATGACCCGGGACACTGGTTTGATTTCACCGTCCTTCACCAAAGATTTCTCACGGATATATTACTCTCATTTTATACTGTTTTTAAACTGCTTGTCTTTCCGAGGCTGGAGACCAAATGCTTTGGGCTAGCGTCACCTAATTTTTAACAATAATTGCTGTTGGGTACCAGCCTAACATGGTCGGATTTAGGGAGACATAAATTAAGCAGGTGCCATTTGAGAAAGTGACAATGGGACCCCCAAGACTAATCTTGAAATATGATATTAACTGTTTATTTTGCTTTCTTTATTTTCTTACTAGAATATAAAACATAACGCACTGATGTCTGTAAATATACATAATTTTGTAAATATATATATATATATATATATATATATATATATATATATATATATATATATATATATATATATATATATATATATATATATATATTATATATATATATTGCTTTTTACCCAAATTTCAAACATTTGACAACATAATTTCATAGTCGACTATATTTCTGATTTGAAATGAAAAGATCATGAATAAATTATTACGACCTAGTGCTTGATTTTAATTTAGTTCTCATTGGCAGTCATGTATTAGGAGTGGCGTAGTGGATAATGCGAATGTCATTCGATCTGTCACGTCAAACCAAGTTAAGTATGGTTAGTAACTGAATGGGTGACCATAAGGACAGTCTAGGTGATCTTGAGAACTCTGATATGTCAGTAGACACATCATAAAAGAAACATTGTACAATATTATAACTATCTATTGTTTTTTATATTATATACTGGTATAATAATTAGTTGGGAATAATTATGAACTGCCTCGTTTGATCCATTGTGTCTTCTGTCAATTTCTCTCTTACCACACCTTCGCTTGAAACACTGCAGTGATTCCATTCTATTATGCTACATGGTAATCGTAGCTCAGTCGATTAAGGCAGTGTCTGGCATGCTCCCGGACGCAGGTTCGAATCCTCGTCACCAATTGGAGCTGGTGAATCCTGGGCCAATTGGAGCTGCCTCGTATGGGACAATAGGAGCTGCCTCATATGGGCCAATTGGAGTTGCCTCGTATGGTACAATAGGAGCAGTTTCGTATATTCTTATGTTCCTATGTCTAGGTTCACTTCATCAGATGGAATGAGACAGAAAGTTGTAGCTCAATCGTTTTAATATAAATTTTGTAACTTAGGTTTTCGCGACAAACCGGAGGAGAAAATGCTATGTGGTACAATCGAACCCTGGACCCTGGAATGCTCAGGAAGTACTATAACCACTCTGCGCATTCACAAATATTATTACGTATATAACTGACATCATACCTTAGAATGTCTGATATCACGGACTGGTATGTATTCTTACATAAGATAAAATACCTGAATAAAATACATGTCTCAAAGCATTGTGTATACCAATATGTGCATGGCATACTGCGTCCTAGAGACGCTCAAAATATTTACAGGTGGAATCAATCTCAAACACAAAGACACAAGGTTGGTATATTATCTACGGTCCCCGCCTTGTGGCGACATTATTATGGCATTTCCATTAACAATATAATTATACCCCACTTGTAGCTATAGATCCAATGTCTTTATGATTGTATTACAACTGCTGGCTTACATATGGACGCTATCACATTAAGGGTCAATCAAACCAACTGCATGCATACCATACTTTAACCATACATACCCCTACTTTGCCCATACACACCCTACCTTAACCATACATACCCTACCTTAACCATACATACCCTATCTTACCTATACATACTTTACCAATACATACCCTATTTAACCTATACATATCATATGTAATCTATGTATATCTTTGTCATACATACCCTGACTTACCCATACATACCCTATCTTATCCATATATCCCCAGTCTTGCATAAATATACACACAGAGAAAAAATATAAAGCATCGCATTATTATACCTACGCATAACTGAATTATGTGTTTTTTTGTGATTATTCTTGCATCATACCTTATCTTATCTATATCAACCCTATGTTATCCATACATACTTTGTTTTACCCATATACACAGCAAATATTCAGCGCAGGAAGGAAATATCCTCCCATCAGGCCAACGGCCATCAGCTATACTCTGTGAATCTCTGAATTATAATGAAATATATTCCATAACTTGTTGGCCTAACTTGCAAAACTGCCATTCACAAGTGACATCGGGATCAGGAACACACTATGAAAACCTTCACTACAAAGATTCCATATATATATATATATATATATATATATATATATATATATATATATATATATATATATATATATATATATATATATATATATACACACATATGAAGCTCCACCACGTCTCCTTCCCTTCCTCCTACCCTCACATCACCTCCTCCTCTGGAACTCAATCCACATTCATAAAATGCATCAAATCTGGCTCAATAGTTCTCAAATATGTTTGTAAGAAATATGTACATAGCCAACACCAAGAACAAAAATAGATTTATGTTGAGTCGCAATGTATATTTTCCACGTCAAATGGAAAATTCAGTCAATAACACTCATCTGTCGTCATTTACCACATTTTCTTTTCTTTTATCCACACTACCATCTTTCCCTCTCGTTTCTCTCTCATTATCCTCCTTTCCTTTGCTTCTACCTTGAAGGCACCTTCAGGGGGTCTCGTCCTCCTTAGACATCTGATCATTGAAACCTAAATCCCGTTGTAGCTTTCTATTGTGTATGTTAATCAAATAGAGATTATTATTGTAATATTATCAGTTATAGGGTCACTAAATATTATTGTCTGTAGTATGGGGGTGGAAAGCTGGAGGGAGTGAAAGAGTATAGGGAGTCATGAAGGGAACTGGAGAACCTCACATGAGATACGGAAGATAGGTAGTGAAGGGTGGGGTGGATTGAGGGAGGAGGCAGGGATAGGGAGAAAGGGGGAAGTGAAGGACTACGAGCGAGAAGGGGAGGTTGGGAAGCAGTGTGAACAACAGGGGGGAAGGTGGGAAAGAGAGGGAGGAAGGTAAGTTGGAATGAGAGGAAGGTAGAGAGGCAGGGAAGGTACTCCACCAGCCGGCTCACTCACCCGGAAAGGTCATGCACACTGCAGCCTCTGGCTGTGTTTGTCAAAAGTTCTATTAATACTCAACACCGGGCGCGCAGCCTCATGGTGTCTCGCCATATCAATACCTCGTGATCATGTTCATATCAACATATTCCAGTAAAGATATGAAATACACCATATCTGAATACCCTGATAGCCGAAGTTTTAAATTCCATATTCTTTCATGAACCGAATTACAAATGTTTTAAGACAACAAACGAAGTGATAGAGATCTACTTCAATTTTCAGTTATAATACATCCGGACAAAAGATCACACTTAACAAATTCTTCCATGAGTTTGTTGATATCTCAAGGAGAAATAAATAAATGAGGCCCAGCAGTACTGGACGCCATCGAGGTCTCAATGCGATAACAATTTCTCTATCACGCATTTTTCCTTGTCATGATTTTCGCAAAATGTCTATTCTTCTTCTATTCCCGTGTTTAAATACACCAACTAATACACAGAAATGTATCACTAAACTAATCGGAAGAAATACTCCTCTAATACACAAAAATACAAACGCTCAAAGTCCATTTACAGGGATTTTGAGTTTGTGTCTAAATTATTTTTTTTTTTTTTTCTGTTATCGAGGCGTGAGATTAAATCATCAGCTATGAGTTATGTCCGAGGCGTGGGGATGGTTCATACATATGTATCTCTCAGATCAACCCTTGCGGTTTTCTTTGTATCATTAAGTGGTTACCTTTACCAATAGATTCGTCTTAA